GTAGGGAAAAAACAAAGATTTACTGAATCCTGTCCGCACACATTTTATGTTTTAATTGCAAAACATTCAGGTGAGAGAATTAGTCTAATTTTCCCAGCATGCTGAGGACTCAATTAATTAATTTTGTTTCCTATTCTTTAAATTAATTTATGAATAACATAAAATAGTTTAATAATGAAAATTTCTTATGCACATTATTTTAATTTCTTCTGATCTATTCTCCTTGTTTTTTCTACATATATCCTCCTTCTAAGACATTTATCTTTCCTAACCAGGTCTTTTTCTTGTTGTCCTCATTTTACATCTTTTCCTGCCTTCTCAGTTTTCCAGAGATAATGAATGTATCTAAGAGTTGTCAGCTCCTAATTTCTATCAGAAGCAAATCTAATAATATGTGCTTGTACCCTTTAAATCTGAATTTGACATTCTTTTCCATGAAACACTAGTTCTTGAACTTATAAGGGGTGGATCTTCAAACTGAAGGGTCAAATACCTGAGTGAAGAATCTTCTGTGAAGGCTGACACCTTTGGGAACTTGTCCTATTCCAAGACCAAATGTAAAGCAGACTAGTTTGATGACATATGGAAGCAGGAGCCATAATAGCCTACATTCATGGGCATGCAGTTAAATGTTCCATTTTTCTTATTAGAAATCAGTCTTTGTCATTGTGAATTCAGTGAAAAATATATTATGACATGGAAATTTATTTTCTCCTACAAAGTGAGACTGTTCATCCAAGAGGTGTTGGTCGGGTTTTTATGTAAAAGTCTTGATGTAAAATCAGAGAGAGTGGGCTGTCTTCAAGGGCACAGCCTATGAGAGGCTATCCATATTCTAATAGATGCATGTAAATCCATGAACATCATGACACATTAAGTGGACTCAATATGTTTTAAAAATTAGCATATGCATATAGAGAGATAAGGGAAGGATGGCAGGAAAAGGAATGAGTGGTAGATTTGATCAAAGCACATGATTAGAATACATTAAATCCTGAAATAAAAATAAAAAACTAATATATTTCCTGTTTTATATATTTTTACTTTCTTTGGTGGAGATGTGGAGTATCAACTAGGCAGAGGGTAGGAAGTTCAATAAAACAGGACAAGAAAGGAGGATGGACAAATAACTCAAAAGTTGTGTAATAAAACCTCGAGGTATCACTATATTATATTCATAACAAATCATGCAAAATGATTATATGTATACACACACATATATATACATACATATACATATAAACATACATACACACACACACACACGGATTTGGCTGCCTATTAGACATTGAAGGGACTGGATTGACAAATAGGTATGTAGCTGACAATCTACCAGGAATATATAATATAACTGGCTGTCTAATACAAAGTGGCAAGGCAACAGGTAGTAAAAATGACAGCAGAAGGAAGCTCCTGAGATATTTTTATATGTTCAGAAACTCTATGTGCCAGTTGTTACTTGCCTATGTGCCTTTATTACAACAAAATTGTTATGAGTTTAAAATTGAACATTTAAATAAATGCAATAAAGTTGAGATCAATTATTTCACACAAAATTTACTGTCTTGATTGTGAATGAACACTGGTTTATTATATTGGTAGAGCAGAAATCCCACAGATTACTGTAGTTCTTCCTGTCTCTCCTTGATTTTACCATCTAGAGAGTGAGATTGGCATATCAGCAGTCTCTACGATAGGGACATATAGCCTCAAAGAGGCAATACAGAACTTGTAGAAGGAAATGATAAAACAATAGCCTACAATAGGGATGTGTGCCCCTAATGAAGATCCAAGGGAGTAGGAATTCACTTGCCTCTCCCTTGCAACTCATGCCTGGGACCCAAATCAAGGCTAATCTGGAATGACCAGTTTTAATTTGGAAACTAGCCCAGCATGTATTGGTTTCATGGTCTCAGGTAGGAGGCTAAAGGTTCTGTGTCAGACCTTCTATGTGTGAAGTAGGGAAAGCATTTGGGGCTGTTACAGATTGGAGTGAAGATTCACTAAGAAACTATGAATCTAATAGCCCTTACTGTCTTTTCTTTCCTCAGGTCCAGGAAAGTAATTAATACAGATCCACAAATAAAAAAGAAAGTAACTGCATTTTCAACTTTGTCACAACCAATTGTCCTCATTCTGAAAATTGAAAATCCAGTAATATGAGACAGATAATGATACCATGAACATGTATTTTCTTTTCACTCAGAATTCTATAATTCTTCAGAAATTCATAGTTGATATTCTCCACTTTATCTCTAGATTATTAATTACTCCCAGAATATGTCATATGCATGTTAACAAGAGATGTATCCTTGTATTTTGCTCCAAATGTCGACAAAAACACAGGTATTTTTTGAAAGTTTGGTCATAATATGCCAAGATTAACAGTGAGCTAAATAACGTCTACTTAGGCTTCTAATAGCTACTGATCAGCAATATCTGGTTCTATTTATTTCAGCTGAGATTATTGTAACTACTTCATGAATGAAATCTATTCTGAAGCAGTCAATGAAAGTCATGTTCAAAAAGCTGCAATGAAAATACATATTTGCCACCTTGACTCCTATTCATATAGAAATAACTTCTAGAGGAATTGTATTGAGTTTCTCTTCATTTAGTTTGATGTAGGCTGTTGGTTTGCTGTGTATTGCTTTTTATTATGTTTAGGTATGTTCCTGTTATCCCAAGGATGCCTAATCTCTAGATCTCTTCAATATTGTACTTGAAATACAATAAGACAACAAAAAGAGAACGAGGGGATACAAATTGGAAAGGAAGAAGTCAAACTTTCATATTTGCAGGTGGTGATATGATAATTTACATAAGTGACTGAAAAAACTCTACCAGAGAACTCACACAGCTGATGAACACCTTCAGCAAAGTGGCAGGATTCAAGATTAACTAAAAATAAAAAATATCAGTAGCTATAACATATACCAATGATAAAGGGGCAGAGAAAGAAATCAGAGAAACCCTTTACAATAGCCACAAACAACATGAATTTCTTGGGGTAACCCCTACCAAACAAATAAAACATGTGCATAATAAGAAGTTGAATCTTTAAAGAAATAAAGAAGATACCAGAAGATGGAAAGATCTCTCATGCTCTTGGATAGGAAGGATCAACATAGAAAAAAATGGCAATCTTGCCAAAAGCAATCTACAGATTCAATCCAATCCCCATGAAAATCCAAGCACAATTCTTCACAGACCCTTAAAGAACAATCCTCAACTTTATATGGAAAAACAAAAGATGCAGAATAGCCAAAACAACCCTGTACAATGAAGGAACTTCGAGGGTCATCACCATCACTGACTTCAACCTCTATTGCAGAATTATAGTCCTGAAAATAGTTTGCAATTGGCACAAAATACACAAGTAGAACACTGGAATCCTTTGAAAGCCCTGTTATTAACACACACATATGAATACCTGATTTTTTACAAAGAAGCTAAATTTATAAAAGTATCTTCAACAAATGGTGCTGGCACAACTGGATGATGGTGTATAGAAGACTGCGGATAGATCCACATTTATTGCCATACACAAAACTTAAGTCCAAAATGATCAAAGACATCAACATAAATCCAGGCTCACTGAACATTTTAGAAGAGAAAGTGTGAGGTACCTTTGAACAAATTGGTACAGGAGACTGCTTCCTGAATATAAAATAACACCAGCAGCACAGATACTGAGATTGACAATTAATAAATGGGAACTCTTGAATTTGAGAAGCTTTTGTAAGGCAAAGCATACAGTCAACAAGACAAACTGGCAGCCCACAGAATGGGAAAAGATATTTACCAACTCCACATCTGACAGAGGCCTGATTTCCAAAATATACAAAGAACTCAAGAAGCTAGTTATCAAAACACTAAATAATCCAATTAAAACGTGGGGTACAAAACTAAATAGAGAATTCTCAATGGAGGAATCTAAAAAGGCTGAAAGATACTTAAAGTGCTCAACATCCTTAGCCATCAGGAAGGCAAATCAAAATAACTCTGAGATACTACCATCTTACTCCTGTCAGAATGGCTAAAATAAAAACAATAAAGACAGTATATGCTGGCGAGGATGTGGAGAAAGTGGCACACTCCTCCAGTGCTGGTGGAAGTGCAAACAGATATAGCCACTACGGAAATCAGTATGGCAGTTCCTCAGGAATATGGAAATCAGTCTACCTCAATATCCAGCAATTTCACTCTTAGGCTTATACCTAAAAGACGCACATTCATACAACAAGGACATCTGCTCAACTATTTTCATAGTAGTGTTATTTGTAATAGCCAGTACCTGGAAGCAACCTAGATGCCCCTCAACTGAAGAATGGATGGAGAAAATGTGATAAATTTGCACAGTGGAGTGCTACTGAGCAGAAAACCACAATAGAATCCTGAAATTCTCAGGCAAATGGATGGAACTAGAAGAAATCATCCAGAGTGAGGTGATCCAGTCACATAAAGACAAACATGGTATGTACTCACTCATATAGGGATTTTAGACACAGAGAAAAGGAGAAACCCACAGAACCAGGTGACCTGAACAAGGGGAAGCTCATTGACTCTAGTCTGATAGCTGGGAAACCAGTACAGGACTGACCCAAACCCCCTGAATGTGGGTGTTAGGAGAACTGGGCAGTCTATGGGGCCTCTGGTTGTGGATCAGTATTTATCCCTAGTATATGAATGGACTTTGGGAGCCCATACTACATAGAGGAACAATTTCTCAGCCTGGACACATTGGGGAGGGCCTGGACCCTGCCCCAAATGATTTGAAAACTCCTCATGGAAGGCCTCACCCTCCCTGGGGAGCAGAAAGTGGATGGACTTTGATTTGGTGGGGGTGTTAGGAGAGGATGGCATTGACATGTAAAGCAATCTTGTTTCAAATGTAAATTTAAAAAAAGGGGGGGGGGAGAAATAGCTTCTAGGGAAAGGTAGCACTAGTACACTGTATCTGACACATCTCTACTAAAGCAGAACCTTTCCCTACTTACCACAGGTTGCCACTTCATCTGTCTGGTCACCACAGTCATCCTCTCTATCACACAGCCATGCTCTGGGAATGCAGCGCCCATTTCCACAAGAAAACTGGTCAGCCTGACAGGTTCTTGCTGTAAAGATCAATTTATACACACTGAATTAATTCATTGACTTTTTGAGTAATGTCACATGCAATGTTTATTTCACACATAAGCATTATGTTTATATTTTAACATTTGAAATTTTCATTTAATTATATTTGTCCCTTTCCTCCTGCCATATTATCCCTCATATTCACTCACCTTTAAAAGCATGGCTCCTTCATTCAGAATATAATATTTTCTTTTTGTTTTTAATTTATTTTTTATTTTTATTTTATGTAGCAAACCAAGTTCCTCCTCCCTCCTTTTAATAGAAATTCAATAAGGGCTCTTATTTTCCATTGTTCTTTCTCCCTAACATTTTTCTTTCTCCTTTTCTTATCATCTTTAAGTTTCTTCCTTTTTGCCTCCTATTCTTTCTTTTTTGCTTTTCCTTTCTGCTGTCCTTCTCTTATTGTATTCCAGTCTCTCATGATTTTAAATGAGAGTACCATTAGATAATTTATTTCCATTTAATTCCAACTTAGCCATAATCATTATATATTAAATTTATGCAAACCACTCTTCTTTAACTTTATATTCTTATTAATATAGTCTTTCCATTGAGTCTAGCAAAGCTTTCTTACTGGAGTGCTCTTATTAGCAAGAAAGTAGAGTCTAATTCATATAGTGGGTGACTTACCATTGGGGTGGTTGGGGCATATATGTGTGGCCCTCATAGCTGTGAAATTGTAGAAACTTTCATAATCATTAACAAAAGAATTTTCTGCATGGTTATTGAAAGATATTAAGACTAGAAAGTGCTTGAATTCACTATCTCTTTTAATCATGGGGAGAAAAGTTTTTTTTTTTTTTCTTCTCGGGAAATTTTGAATTGATTTCAGATGAGAAAGATACTTTATTCCTTAATTCTCTAAGTTCAGTATTTTGGACATAACCAAATTGACAGAATTAGCCCTTCAAGCCAATGCAGTCACTAAAAGACCACAGAGTGTTTTCTTTTTTGGTCCTCCTTTGCATCAGATATACTAACTTGCATATGACATTAGATGAGTGGCTGGAAAGGGCTCTAATGTTATGACAAATAGTGTCTTAAAGAGGAACTTATTTGTGCCTTTTGCAGAACTGTTCATCTAGTAGTTGAGACTGAGATACCCTTCACATTATAGATGTTCCTGCTCATAACTGCTACCATATAGCAGAATGAAACCTGATAGCATGGATACTCTATCAGGAGACTGTTCAAACCATACAGAAATATCATCTGAGTTGCATCTGAATGAAAGCATTCTGTTTAGACAAAATATACCAGCTCATCCATGTAAATCACAGTACGTGGAAGGAGGGCATAGGAAGATGATGAGTTCAAGCCTAGATAGGATACATTTTAAAACCCTAAGAACTACCAAGGGCAGGGAATGAACCTCATTGGTACAACATTTGGACAACATTTGAAAGCCCTTGGGCCTAATTTTTAATATGATGATGAGAGGGAGATGTTTTCTTTAGTTCATCATGTAAAAGTCCTGATTTTAATGGAGTTGTTATTTTCATGTAAATATACCTGCTTAGTGTGCATTTAATCAAAATTGTTTGATGATGTGAGGAGTAAAATATTGTCCAATACAATAGAGTTCAATGAGGGAGCAAAATGTTGGCTTAACATTGCCTAGGGAAGTGAATTTCAAATATAACTGCCATTCATCTTGGTCTCTGATATTCTCTTAGAACTAGATAAAAGAAATATGGGGTTTTGAGGGAAAACAGATTCTCTCTGTGTAGCTGTGGCTACTCCTTTGTGATCCATGCATGTGTTACTCCTGAATGCCTTCTCTAACTTGCTTCTAGTATTTTGACCACTCATGCTTTCAATCCAATAAGCTAGCAGTTGGCAATTTACTCCTAGTGAACTGTTTCTATCACAAAAGTTCAATCAAATATACACTTGTCTATGATGTACAGTTACATCCAATTTATTTATCTATATTTTCTATAGAATTTTGTTTTGTATTATTAAAGAACTATATTAAAGCCTAATCTTATAGACCATGGAGTCTCTCCCACACATTGACCTCCCCTAGAAGACCTAACTCTTTATTTTCTTTGCACCTCCAGGAGTTTTTGTTTTTTGAAGACTACACTTGAAAGATATTTAAAATTAATTCTCAGTTTACATTTTTTTAAATAAAAATGTTTATATTTTCAAATTTTATATAAGATATTTTGAAAAACCATTCTTTTGACATTTGAGTATGAGTTCAATCAATTAAGTACTCATGGCAAATTTACAAATTTATCAAGTATCCTATTCATTTAAAATTGAGTTCATTTGGGGGCATTTTTATTCCTAGCTCTCAGGGTGAATATCTTTTCCACAGGTTTTCCGATGTACAGGTATTACCTACAGTGAGAAAACGGATATTGCAAAGTTAAACATGCATAAATTTTGAACTCATTGAATTAAAAATAATCCTTACTGAACTGGCTAGATTTTTGTTTTTGTTTTTTTTTTAAGTCAACTTGATACATGCTGCATTCATTAGAGAAGAAGGAGCCTTCCTTGAAGAAATGCCTCCATGAGATCCAGCTGTGAGGCATTTTCTCAATTAATGATCAATGTGGGAGGTTCCATCCACAGTGGATGATATTATTTCTATTGGTGGTCCTGGGTTCTATAAGAACAGGCTGAGCAAGCCAGCGTAAGCTAAACAGTAAACAGCTCCCCTCCATGGTGTCTGCATTATCTTCTGCTCCAGGCTCTATCCCTGCCTGATATCTGGTTCTGACCTCCTGCTATGATAAACTACAATCTGAAAGGGTAAGCCAGATAAACCTTTTCCTCCTCAACTTGCTTTTTGGTCATGGTTTTTAGTTGTAGCAATAGAAACACTATTACTCTTTCTAGTAAAAAATCAATTTATGTGACGACTAAGAATATGTGCTAGGTTTTTCTCCACATAATATTGCCAAAACTTGTTTTTAACCAGATTATCTGGCTTGTTTTGGATTTTATTATTATTCATAGATTTTTCTTATATTTTTCAAGGGTTTAACATTGCATCCTTCAGGAATTCTTCCCTATACTTTGGTCTTCTATGATTCCTGGGTGCCCATTGCTATGAGGAAACACGACTACCAAAAACCATGTGAGAAGTTAAGAGTTCATTTCATCTTATAGCTCTCCAGTCATACTCTACCTCTGAGAAAGTAGGAATATGAACTAAAGGCAAAAACCTAGAGGAAGTAACTGAAGCAGAGGCTATCTTTAATGAAAAAACACTGCTTACATAACTCTCCATGTCTTTTTTAGCTTAATTTCTTATAAAACCCAGGTTCATACACCCAGGGATGGTATTACCTCTAGTGAGCTGCCCCCTGTCATATCAGTCACCTGAGGGTATGCCAAGCAGGGATGCTCATAGACCTAGTGCAGGCATGTTAGCAGTGGAGATTCTTGCTTCCAATATGTCTAGTCACATAAAACTATACAGAATAATAACAGTATGGTTAAACTTTGGGCTTTGTATCCTGCATTACAATGGGTGCCCAAAACATGATTTTGTGTGCCCTTGTTCTCTATCTACAAATGAAAGTACTATGTACTTTTGATCATTCAATCATTAATGTTGTGACAAATATTTACTGGTTGGTGTGGGAAAAATCTTAAAGGAACTAAATAAAAAACAGGTTTCTGGTAGGAGAAGATTCCAGTTTATATCCAAACAGCCCTGATGTAAACAGGTGAGGACATAGATGGCAAGATAAAATATCCCTGTTTTGTGTCTTTTCACCTAGGATACATCTTCACATATGCACTTAGATTTCAGTACGCAGACAGTACGCAAAGGAACTTGCCACTTTGTCCACATGTACTAAGCCACGAGAATTGCTCATTTCTCCAGGTAAAATGAAATGGAAATACATAAAACTGTGTGATGATGAAAGACACATTTACATTTCACTTTATTCTTTTCATTGACACCATCTGCCATGATTATATGGACGTGAGTACACTGACCTGGGAGTGAGAGGCACAACTCAATGTGACATTCAATATGTTGTGTTTTGTTTCCTAGTGCACCCTAGGGATCTAGAACCATAGAAATCAGACTGATTGCTTTGTTTATTCTTACATAGAAGTATTTCTATTTTTACTACTACTAATAGTTACATCAAATGCAAATGATCCTTTATAAATCACGTGGAAACCAGCAAGATTTGTAATTAGTATAAACAAGTCAATTGTGATATCATGATTGTCTATTTTATTACAAAAACCTCTGTGTGTTTATATTCAGGATGTAATGAAGCACACGCTTTGAATTATACCTTAATCTTAAAAGATTAGTATGTGCATTGGTGTGCAGAAATGCTTCATTTTAAGTTAGAGTCATATTCACCTTCTCAAAGTCAAGTTGGCTGCTTATAAAAATCAAGGTAATCTGGTGCGCAGTACAGTTTTGTCCAAGTAATAGAGGCCTTTCAGAATTCATAAAGATGTAGGCAAGCTCTGTTTGCTACATTGCCTCTACAAAATGAAGTCTTGAATATGGGCCCCATGGTCTTGAGATATCTCTTTTGTTTAGAAAATCTTGCAAAATTACACACACACACACACACACACCCCACAGGAAAGTCAATGCCAAAATCAAGGGTAGGAATGAATTTTTTGTTCATGAGTCTACATTGTTGCAATAGTTTTTATTTATTTTCTGAGGATTATAATGGCTAAAGGAGAAAGAGGTGTTGTGAGGTCTGGTATGCTAAAACATTGGAGCAAGCTTCAAGAATCAACTTTCACCAATTATAACATCATGTATCACCACATACTAGCCTTTCTTCCTCATTTACAGTGTACTGGGCTGCTGATTGCCAGTGTTATTTTTCAACATTTACCTAGTAATCATGACCTTTCTGGCACACTTTTGTAAACTGTACCACCAGCTGTATATTTCTATTCAATGAGAGGCTGGCTAGGGAATCAATGATTTATTACAAAGGCATGGATTATGTGGAAATATAAATATGCCTAGTCGTATTGGGACTTCATTCAGGAAAAAAAAATGTGCCTTCCATAAATAATGTTCCATGAACAGAAAACTGTTCAGAAAGGTATTCTGTTGTAGAAAAAATAAGAAGTTTTAGTATTTTGTCAGGATAAAATAGTTCTCCTTGTGAGGTGGCCAGGATCACACCATGCTAATGAAAAGTTCCTACTGCCTAGGAAGGATTAGCTTGGACAAGTCCTGAAGGAGATGCTGATCAACAGGCAGCCCACAGGAACAGATGAAATGCTAGATTAATTTGGAAACCAGAGTTGCATTAAAAAATTAGTAAAACACCTTTTATCATGTGGCCTTTGTGGCACTGAACACTGAAATCCCTGACCAACGCAGTAATCAGCATGTCAATGCTAACAATGTTCAGCTAGTTTATCATCCTGATCTGTGTGTTATAGATGTGGAGGTGAGAGTGATTTATTATGCATCTATGCAGCCCTTTACCTGTGCAGGTTTGGTTGGACTCATCTTCATTGCTGCCACAATCATTTGCTCCATCACAAAGCCATCTCTTGGGGATACAACGATTATTTTGGCATTTAAACTGATCATCAGGACAGCTATGATTTACTGCAGGGAGAGAGAAGTTAGTTCAATTCAAATTACGAGTATTTTAGCTAAGGTTATAAAACTATTTCAGTAATTGTGCTGTTATGCTGTAATAAGTGCCTCAGTTTCTGTCACTAATTGCCTCAAATTTGTAGGAAAATTAATATTTTAGACTTTGTTAAAATATAATCATTATAGAAAATATTACTTTAAATATGCAATAAATGGAAATATATCCATTTTCAGCTTCTACTCAAACCACATATACCTCTTAGTTTGTTTCTTCATCACTGGTCACTCAACTGTGCTTATGCATTTGAAATAAACCTCAAGGTTTAATATCATGCATGGAAATTATATCTCAAAATAATTACTCATATATAATAATATACTATTTTCATACATATATCATATTCATTCAAATATTTTACAATATTAAATAATATTAATTGTGTTTTTATTCAGCCTGTTTGGGGATTTGCAAAGATATGGAAAAACTAAAAATGGATTACTTGTGACAAATTTGATACTAAAAATGAGATTTTAAATAATTTTAATAACAAACTATTATCATATGTTTTCCAAATGTTGCAACTAAAAGCAATATTGAAAATGAGAGCAACAATCATAAAATGACCCACAGCTGAATCTGAACCTTCCCATATCAAATCACAATGGGAAAACTCTTTGTATTAATCTCCTAAACATATTTTTTGTCTTCCTAATGTGTGGTCTTCCATATTTGTTTCTCAGTTTCAACAATATTTCATTCTTTTCTACAGTGCAGTAGATGTACATTTTCTAAGATGGAAACATATTTTGTATAAGTTTTATTTTTAAAGAGAAATTTACTGTTTTCTCATTCTGCTTCATATCAAATGTGTCCACTTACAATATGTTCCCACAAATCATATGTTCTTTAAGTGTTTGTGATGTTAGAGTGGTTTCCATACATTGTGGAAGGTTTTCTTTGAGTGAAAGGAAATTTATTTTAAAAATAGAACTCCATATGTAGTTTGGCGACAAAAAGAAGGTAAAGATCTGAGAAGAGGTGAAGGAGGGAAAGAGTATAATTAAAAGATATTAAGTGAATTCATTAAAGAAAAAAGAGAAAAGAAGTATCCCTTAGTATTTGTGCATGATCAACATTTTCTATGTATTTCACAATCTTTAGCATGTATAGACACCAATGAAATATAAAAGTCATATACATGTCAGAGGTCAAGATTCTAAAGGAACAAGATCATGCATGGCACACTGTAGTGAATCTTTTTGGAGACCTTTTTGTGGCCATTTCTATTACCCTATACACTAGTAAGGTAGAATAGGACTGTAAGCTATAGGCTGACCTAGTCATCTGGGTGAGTTCAAGACTGATCCATTTTCATTAATGAAGGAAATGCATAGTCAACCACGGTCTTGTAATTAGTGGTGAGCTACTGAAATACAGGGAGAAAAAGTATAAAACCAAAACACCAAAAAAAAAAAAAAAAAAAAAAAAAAAAACAACCAACCAAACAAACAAACAAAAAAACAGCAGAGATAAAACATAATGCAGAATGACTAAAAGACTCAAAAAGGATGCTCTCTGGAAAGAGAACTAGGAGAAAGAGAAGGGGAGGAGAGGAAAGCACATTCAACTATGAAGATTGAGTCAGGGTATGAATGGAAGACAGGATAGAGAGAGAGAGAGAAAGAGAGAGAGAAAGAACATAAAAGAAGGAGCCGTTACTGGTTTGAAGAGAAAACAGAACCTAAAGAAAAGTCTAGAGACCTACAATACTGACTCCAACTAACATTTTGAGCAACAGTGGAAAGGCTACCATAAATGCCCTACCCTGATAATGAGATCAACAACTAACTTATCCACCATCATGGAGCCCTCATCTAGTTCCTGCTGGAAGAAGCAATCATTCACAACTAAACACTGAGTCAAACTAGAATCCAGATGCAGAGGGAGAGGACAAGACCAGGTTGCAGAAACACATAGAGACAGCTGACCTGAACAGGGAGGAACAAATGTGTGCCACCCCTAGACCGATAGCTGGGAATCCAGCATGGGACAGACTTAGACCCCATGAATATGGATCTCATCTACAAGGCCTGAGCAGTCTAAGGGACCTCAGACAGTGGAACCAGGATGTATTCCTGGTGCACAAAAGGACCTTGTGGACACATCCCCCATGGAGGGATACTCCCTTAACCTAGAGACAGGAGAGAAGTCCTAGTCCCTACTTCAAATGACTTGACAGATTTATATGACCCCACCTGGATGGGGATGCCCTACATGTGGAATGGGGGAGGGGGAATGGGAGGGGAGGGTGTTCAGGGTGCATGTGAGGGGGGGAGAAAGTGTAAGAGGGAGGGAGGGACAGAGAGAGAGGGAACTGGGATCGATATGTAAAATAAAATAAATAAATAAATAAATAAATGATAGAAAAGAAGATGCTCTCCAAGTAGGTGGCCAGAGATGCTTGCTCTACACTTCTGGGTTTATAGAGTCATACTTTCATCCAAAGTCAAGGTCTATTTTTGGAGCTGATACTCCAGGCATGTTACAGTCAACCATATCTCCCAAGGAAGATATTAATATTTTATTAGATGAAGCCAATGAAGAAACCTATAGTTGCAGTACAGATTGAGAACTACTGTAACATAAGACTTACAGAAAACAGATACTTGACTCTAACAGGCTGTACAACAGTTTATTGAGGGTTAAAAATAATTCCATAAGAAGGCAGTGCAAACTATAATAAATTTTATAGACTACTCTCAGCTCAGTATCACAGGCAAGGAAAGTAAGAAGCATTTTTCTGTAGGACAACTAAAATTCAACTCAATAATTACAAAGGTAAATAGATAGATGATGGACTACAAGTTATACACTTGAGTATGTGACTTGAGGTCTTTCACATGCTATCAAACAGGTTCTGTAACTGTTTCAATAAGAAGGACCTGATCCTATAACAACTATTCTAGGGTTAATGTGTAACTAAGGGAGACATAATAGGAATTCACAGAGGAACTCTCAAGTTAATTTAAGAGGAAAGCCTAATTCAACCAGGAAAACAAGATGACCAAGGATAAAATTTATAGACTTCACAGAAACACACTTATTTACAGACTTGAATATGGATAGCAGGTGAAATACAGGATGCCAGGCAAAGCCTACAGAGCTTGTGATGGAACACATTAGCTAATCAACTGTAATGGCAGAATATTACTTCATATGCATTCCAAACGTGTCTTATATCCATACATGTGAGAAGTTTCCCTACTTTTATTGGAAACATGAACAGTTCCTCTTTCAGTAAATAAGGAAGGTTGAATGGAAGCCATGGGTAGAGCCAGAGAAGCTAAAATGCATTCCAAATCCTTGCCAATCTCCTTGAATTTCCTTCAAGACTCTGTTGCCAACAAGCAATGTAGTGAATTGTGAACTTCTGTGTCCAAAATTCAGTTTCAAAGAGTGTTAAGCTGACTTCCCATGTCTTTACAAGCAAAGATCCTAATGTGTCCTTGTGAGCAACATCAGATTGTGGTTTGGCAGTGTTCTAACAAACTTAGGAAAAGATAGGAGCAGAGGAGAAGAACAGACATCGACGTCTGTAGTAGGAGGCAATCTGTAGCTTATCTATAAGCCAGTGGTTACTGGGAAAGAAAGTTAGGTCAATTTACACCAAGGATATTTTCAGATATGTCATAGGTTGCTTTTTGGTAATGCAAACACTCAGGAAAATATAGATTCAGATTATTTGAAGGAGAACATACAGCAAGTTTCAGAATCTTCATCACTCCCATCTAGGCAGTCATCGTCCCCATCACATTTCCACCGATCTTGGATACAGTGTTTGTTTTTGCAGCGAAATTCTCCAGCTTTACATATATGAAACATTATTTCTTCAGGATTAACTATGTTTGAAAATAGAAAAAAATACATATATATAAAATGTATATATACTGCTAGATGCATAAGTTCATTAAGGAATCAATTTCTGGGCCTTTTGGTTGCTTTAGAACCACTCAGAAATAAGGTTTTACAGTGCTTGTCTTTGTTTCTCTGGAGTATTTCATTCATGATTTTCTCCATATTCATCTAAGCAGTAATGTGTCAATCTTGTTATGCACATATGCACACAAACATATACTTTCTAAACTTAACACATGGGTCTTGGTGGAGAGAGAATGAGGGAGGCATAGATCAAAAGGACACAATCTACATGTCCATGATACAACATTAATAATATAATAATGATATAGTATCTCATCTTAGAAATTGACAATCAATTGCAGGTGGTCTTATCATAGGTGGTCATGAGCTGGTAACAAAGAGATATAACTTGTTAATTTGCCCACAGAAATAAGTTCACCCAAATATCACAAAAAATATTGCATACATTAAGTATGTACAATAACAATGGAACCTACAAATTTAAATCTGAAGATAAACCACATCCATAGGAAACTTATAATGTTATTTTTCAATAGCATTAAATAAAGATTGTTATAACCCAATAACACGAAATAATTTAAATAGGAAATTTGTTCTAATGACAAAATTCTTGTTTCTCTACAGAAAATACATAAACAGTATTGTACTATAGCTCATCTGGGGAATGGAGCACTTAGTTTTGCTGACAATAATTATTCTGTTAAAAAATTCTAATGGTTTCTTTTAACCAACTTATCACTGAAGAAGAAAGACAATAGTTCCATTTTCTGTTGTGCTTGCTGCTCCTTCATTGTTCATTTGGTTGTCATTATGGGAACCTTCACTACTATAAATCACTTCAGTGTAAACAAATCAACTAAAATTTAATCACAACAAAAAGACACAGAAATAAGACAAGGTTGATGATTCTATTTCCTTTGCTAAAGTTCAGTATACTAATCAGAAGTGTCATATATCTGGGCTCTGAATTTCCATAGTGATTTATCAGAAACTGAAAGCATTCCTATTCTTCTGTTTTGTTTGTATAGATGAGATAGAAACATCGCAGGAAGGAATCGTATACAAGCACTGAAGTATATAATTCGTGTCTTGTCATCTGAAAATGGCCCTAACTAACTCAAGCTAGCTTCTAGCTGGGAGAATATTTAATTTCTGCTCTATTGACTTTAATCTTCATTTCTCCTAAGTCCCGTAGGCTGCTGAACTGATGGGAGACTTAAATACACCTCACTCACATAGGTGAACATAGGTGGTACTTCCAAAGCACTGAACATAAATAACATTGCTTTGGTCTCTGTAACTCCCCTTGCAGCAAAGAACTCAAAGGGAATTATGACTCTTGAACCATGCCTGCAAGAAACTACTTCATAGTGGCACAGTAAGGCACAAGTCTTGGAGGTCTGTAGGAATAGAAATAAAAGCTACCACAATGGGCCCAGACTTCATCTCCAGCCAAAAAAGAATCATTGTATGGAACGAAATATTCAAACTTGAACAAATGTGGCCCTGATGAGGACATTTATTTTCTACTCTTTCTCAGTTAAAAAAAAAAAAAAAAAAACAAGAAGAAGCAATTTTTCTCTGAGGCCTTTTTTCTAAGATCTTTTCAAAGTAAGCTACTATGTGGGGCTAGAAGGCAGGTTATGAAATCCAAATAGGAAATAACAATAACAATAAATATACAATAAAAATACAAACATAAGGGATCAATGTAACAACCTGATACCATTTTATCACTTTACCATTCTTACTTCAGATGTAATAGTAATAATAAAGCATTACTAATACATCACTATACATATATAGAGTTATATATATATCATATATAAAGTTATATACTTATATATATGTATATATATATATATACATACATATATATGAGAGTGTGCCAAAGCCATATTCATGGCTTTGACTTTAAAATTTCTTCTGCATTTTTCCTAAGCCCTGTGCTATTTCTCAGTGGTGTTCTTGTATATCACACATTTGCTTTTGTTCTGGATTTGTTTTCTGAGTATGCTTGTGCGGTATAGATAGGAATGTTCAATGTTTGGCTTTAGAGGACTAGTTTATTTATTTATTTAGTTTATTCACTACTGCTTTTAAACAGGGGTGTGCTTAAAACGAAATGTTAGGAAGAGTTTCTAGCCAAAGCCTTACAGAATCTTGGCTCTAAAGAACTCATTATTTGGCACTCAGAATCACTATGTTTGCAGATTCTACTTGAATTCCCACACACATGTCCCAGCTTTACTTGAGGGAAGAGTCCTACATAAGCACAGAGGCTATGCTACCTGCTGGGTCCTTTGTATTTCATGTATGGCTGATGTATCATCATATCATCTATTAGAATCCAAAAACCTTTTCCAGATAATACTATATGCTAACAAAGATGAAATCCCAGATACTTTACCTACTTTGAATAATGATAAAGGGTATTTTATATATTGAATTTCTAATTTTTATTTTCAATTCTGGCATAACTTGTTGGTCCAAGACTATTATGTCTGTGCCTCCGAAGTATTGGGATCACACACCTGTCTGACCTTTATGTGAGATATGAACTCTGATCCTCACAGTTGGTCACAAGTACTTTTTCACTGAGCATTTACCCTAACCCTTAGGTACTAAACTTTTATTTGCAAGGTCTCCTTGGTTTATGATTTTGTTAGTCTATTCTATGACTAACCTAAAATTTTCAGATATGACCAGAAATTATACCACAAAGGAGCCATAATGTTCAGTTCAGTTCAGTGATACAGGATCCATATCAATGGAAGACAGGTTACTTTTTTTTTTCTTTACAAAGAATGTTTATTACCAAGGAAACTATGATCCATGTAATCATATGGGCAATATAGAATCATGGAGTGTGTGATTTGTTTGCCAGAACTAACTAAGCAGTATGGAGCCAGGGAACAATATCATTTATAACAGCATCCAAGTTTATTACCTCTATACCTAGCAATTTTGAGAGAACAATGAGAAGAAGCAAACAAACAGAGCATAACCTGAAAGGACAATAAATATCTCATCCAAAAAAATCTCAGTTAACATTCTTACTACAGCTGGCTAATGGAATTCCCACTATAAAGAACTAGTGTGTAAAATAATTTGTTGCCTGACTTCTTGGAATTTAATGAGCTTGCTGTTACTCTACTGAGAGACTGTTTCCAGTGAGTGTAGAAATCCTTCAGACAGTCAGCTTCACTTTAACAGGATTAGCAGCTGATATTCTTGTCTCACTACTCATGAGCATGGGTACACACAGACAAATTTTAGCAAGCAAAATAGATGTGTACATAGAGAGAAAAATGAACATTTATTTAAACTCCATCTATATCATTTTGATAGTGTGCTTATCGTGGATATGGAGAGTACTTGGTTGTCTTAGCACAGCAGTGAATTTCTTCCAGAACCTTAGCAAGTGCTAGAATTCTATGTATGCTTTGCTGCAGAGCTGTACTTTAAACCATGAATTTGAAAACATACACCAAATGTATAATTCTGTCACCTGGACAACATGGTCTGAGCTGTAGAAAACTGACAAAGTAATAAATAACCATTTTTGTTTAACCATGTTCAGAAATGACACAGCATGAATTATGACTTGCCTGGTGTAAAATGTCACTTTTCATGCTTCTTGTAAAAACTGTTGTTAGAGGGAGAAAAATCAAAAGAACTGTGTCTGACTCCCCAGAACACAGGAACTTCAAGGATTTATTCTACACTTTCTGTTTTGATTTTTTTAAATTAAAAGGATGATTGCCAGCATTAATACCCAGAATCCCATTATGTAAAGGAAGAAGCCTTTTAAATATATATATTTGTTTGTTTTAACTTTAACTTATTTTTTTTTTTACTCTTCCCATATATTTATATTTGTATTCTGGTGTGTGTGTGTGTGTGTGTGTGTGTGTGTGTGTGTGTGTGTGTGTGTGTGTGACCTAGTATATATCATAGACTCCAGAAGAAGGGGTCAGGTACCCATAGAGTAACAGTGGCAGACAGGTATAAACTCTGAAAGAACAGCAAGGATTCTTCATTGCTGAGCTCTTTCTGCAACTCTTCCTCCCATAAGTTGATCTGTTCTTAACAAAGAATTGTACAGCATATCCTGAACCCACAAATGTATATCAAAAGGAAAACTTGAAGGTGTAGCTAAGTGGATGTTGTCCTATCACACAGTTTCATGAGATCATACAATGAAAAATTCAGCTATGACAGACTGATGAGATTGATGAGTTTTTTTCTTTTCTTTTCTTTCTTTCTTTCTTTTTTTTTTTTTTTTTTTTTTTTTTTTTTTTTTTTTTTGATACAATGGTCTTCTGAACTGCCAGCCTACTAAGTAGAATATAACCTTCTGTGAGGTTCTGTGTACATGAAGACATAAATAATTATTTGAATGGGACTTCTAAACTTTTTTATTTCCTTAAACTTTTTACTACACATTAGATTGCATATCTCCTAGGGCATGAGGCTTGTCACAGCAGAACTGATAAATGGCTCTCCACAGAGAAGCACCATTTGTCTCAAAGGAATATATCTGGTATTCCAAAAGATGGCACTGATCACAGAGGACCACTGACACGTCATGGTGCATTGCTAGCCTCTGGGTTACTGTTATTTTGTGAAGGGTAAGTTGCTCTTTGGAGAATGACACTCAGTGAAGAGATAGACCTTTTTCATTTCAAGCCAAAGAATTACCTTCTTTACTCCAACAAAAAGACCATGGAATTTATACAATAAAACTCATCATTTTAAAGCCTAATCTGTTTTAGGGAATCTATTATAACTTCATTTTCAATTTTATACTACTTGCTTCTCCTCATAATTGTCATGAGAAATATTAACACATACTGCAACTGTTCAACTAGATTTTATTCTGTGGTTCTCAGAGGTAGATAGTGCCAATTTTTTTTGTTTGTTTGTTTGTTTTAAGTTTTTTCTTTTTTATTTAAATTTGAATCAAGGTTGTTTTATATATCAGTCCCCTTTCACTCACCCTCCCATCCTCCCCTATCATTCCCCACCTGCTCAATCTCTTTCTCCTCCCCAGGGAGGGTGAGGCTTTCCATGGAGAGCCTTCAAAGTCTGTCCTATCATTTGGGGCAGGGCTATGGCCATCCCACATACGTCTAGGCTGAGAAAGTATCCTTCAATGTGGAATGGGCTCCCAAAGTCCATTCGTATATTCAGGGTAAATACTGACCCATTACTAGAGACTCCATAGAATGCCTAGTCCTCTTAACTAACATTCACATTCAGGGGGTCTGGGTCAGTCTATACTGGTTTTCCAGCTATCAGACTGGGATGCAAGAGCTCCTCCTTGTTCAGGTCAGCTGATTCTATGGGTTTCTCCAGCGTGGTCTTGACCCCTTTGCTCATCACTCCTCCCTTTCTGTAACTGGATTCTAGGAGTTCAGCTATTGTTTAGCTGTGGGTGTCTGCTTGTTTCCATCAGCTACTGGATGAAGGCTCTAGGATGGCATATGAGAGTGCCAATTTGTTATGCTACAGCAGATGTCAATTCTAGTCCTAAGAGGATTTGGCCATGATTAACAAGAGTCACAAGAGTAAGGATGGAATCTCATTTCATTCTTCCAAACACAGCAATACAATTAATTTCTAACCAATTGTGTAACATGCCAATGTTTGCTGTGGGGAGCATGTTTTCTGTCTGCAACCACTTTAAGTTGAAAGTTCATTACAGAAAAAAATCTTTGGTATTTAGTCTAGCTTAATTGTTGCCCAGCTGCTTTTCATCAATTTTGTTTCATTTCAATGAGAATGACTGCAACCAGGTTGACCATCTTACATTGTTTGTCAGACTCAGATTGCTTGCTTACTTCAGTTGACCCATCACATCTATAAACTTTCCTGAACTAATCAGAAGTCCAATGGAATCAACACCAATGACAGGCTAATGTAATAATGCTGTTGCCCATTTTGTACTGTGCTCTCTCAAAGCTATGACTTCATGTAGCATGCTTATCAGCACTTTCTGACTAACATGTGCTGTCACTTAGGAATGATGATTATCATTCCTAAATAAGTAGAACTATATAATGAGTCCTCCTTATTTTTATTATTAGATAAGTAGGAATTGGAATAATGTACACAAAGACACATTGTCTTCTTTTAAAATATGAGTTGTTAAGCTGTGCTTCAAAGAAACACAGTAAGTTTGCATGCAATGTTTATAAAGACTAGAATTTTAACAGGCAGGTACAACAAATAATTTTAAAAATTATATATTTACTGATTTGACATTTTTCAGTGTGAAAAGAATAGGAAAGCCCATTTTTTCTTTATTGCATTTGCATTACTTCATCTATGAATTACATCTACTAGAAAGAGACCAACACTCCAGAAAATGTTCTTCAAGTACTCCAGTGTGTGATTACGTGATCATGGAACTTACAATACATGAAAATGATTCTCCTAGCATCAGGTTTGAAATCAACATTAGTTTTAATATATTTTCCTTCCAAAAAATAAAGTTTTATTTTTACTGAGCTAGACAACAATGTCTGAGGCATTTGAAATAAACACATGCATTTGTCTATTCTAAGTGCCACTGGAGTCCATGCTCAGGCAGAGTTCCTTTTTAAGATAGTTGTATCTCTGGCTGAACATGTTATGTGATTGGTTGGTTTGGCAGTTTTTGCAAGAGAAGACTACATAAGCCAGTGTGTTGGATTAAAGTATAGAAAAAAAAAGAAAAGAAAAGAAAATACAGTCACATTTGCATTTAGAAAGAGAAATGACAAGTTTCTTTTTCTTGAAAGCTTTGAATGATGTCTTTAGGGAACAATAAAAAATAATAGTTTATATACCTGCACATTAGAAAAGTAACTAGCATTAAATTATTTAAATGTTAAATGATATTAAAACTAAAAAAAATAAATAAATAAAGTTTAGATTTACATCAAAGACCAGCTTCTAGACACTATTGGAGAAGTACTTTATTGTACAATAATGTTACATTTTAGTCTATCATCATTTTCCATATTCATATTAATAAAGATATAACTGAAAAATAATTCATTGCGTCCATATTGAGCATAGGAATGAGGAAAATGGGAAATATGATTAGAAAGTAAATTACACATATACTTATGATTCCCATAATGCAAATTTAGGAACTTATTAGAAAATCTCAAGCTTACATGCCATTTTGATGATTTTGATGTTAGTATCTGATTAATGCACCTCCCCATAATTTCCTAAAGACTCACAAGATCACCAATATCTCTGAGATTCTGGGCCTCTGATCATTCTATAGATAGTTTCCTAAGAGAACATAAATTGTGTTTGATACAAAGAAGTATAGTTTTAAACATTCATCCAGGACATCTTCAAAATTTTAACTAGAAACTGAAATTTTCTCCATCCTGGGGTAAAAAAGGTGGAACATAAACCTGTATCTAGCAAAACCAAACACAGGTCTATTCACTGCTGCTACCATTCTTGAGAGAGGCTCTATGATGAATCAACATTGGTTGTAGGTTAAAAGGTAGGTGTGTGTGTGTGTGTGTGTGTGTGTGTGTGTGTGTGTGTGTGTGTGTTTGCATTATATCTTTTTAAAATCCCCAAATTATTAATTTGGAATAGCAGAAATCTCAGCAATAGAATAGAAAAACAATGCTAAATTAACCATTGTAAAAAATATTACACTGGCAAATATGCCAACTAGGCACATTTTGCCTCCCAAAGAAACCAGGTGAAAGATTTCAACTGTTCAAAACAATGCCTGCTACCTGTTATTTTTAAACGGCGGGCCAAATATAATACCCAGAACAAAGAATGAGATGCTATAGTGTAGTGACTCAGTAATACATTGGGATTTCTCCTTCATGCAACCTTGGAGGAGAGGCATGCATATCTGTAGAAAGACTTGAACCTTATTTTTTGAAGTCAAGGTTTTTAAAGTGAAATTTTGCTTATCCAAAGTTAATATAGAAAGGAGTTGCTTCTCCCATAAAACACCAAAAAATTGGACATTTTTAAGGCACTAGTAATCTATTCTACATAGAATACATATGTTTTTAGAATATTCATCTCTATATTTTCTCCATGGAGATGTAACTTAATATATGTTCCAGTATTACTGATTATAAACAAATCACTATTAAAGTCTTGAACACTAAAAAACAAACCAGCAGAACTCTGCTCTAGGACTAAAATCTTATAATTTTTTTTAAGTTTAATTAAGTAACTAGCTACATATGTAGGGAAAGTATATATTACTAGAGATCAAACCTAGGACTTTGCACATCGGCTACCACTCTACTACTGAGCTGTATTCCCAGAACCCCCTGCAATTTTTATAAATAATTTGAGGATTCAAAATAATATTATTGGTTATTGGTTAGAAATACTACATCACAATAGAAAAACATGAAAATGAGAATGATAAGAATAATTGTAAGACGCTAAATTCCTCATTTCAAATAATTATAATTTATAATACTGACATTGAGCATACTGACTTGAATTCATTTTAGGTCATAGTTTTATTTCAAATGCCTGAAGCTATAACACAAATTGAATGTGAACCATATGAGAAAATAAAGAATGAATTGAAAACACTGAAAATGTCACAAGCATCTATAGCAATATACCACACATGTTCAGTCATCAAGCATGAGATGACTTAGAATTCAGTCCTGAAGGATCATTTACAATGAATATTTAATTAAATGATATGACACTTATGTTCCTGTTAAACAAAAATGAACCTAAATTAACAGACACTGGATTGTGAGTCAGGGCCAAAAAACAATGTAATAGAGAATCCTGCTCCAAAATGAAATCATCATGGATCTGACCTCTGCATGTCCAGAGTTCCTCCCTCATCCATCTGAACTAAAACTTCTATTCCTGAAACTTGACTCTGAAGTCTCACTGGACAGACACTTCACCTATGCTATGCTATATTTTCAATTTGAGGACTGCAGATCTTAAAGCTTCTCAACTCCGTGGATATCAGTCAACTCCTTATTATAATCCTGTCATCTTTCTGCATGTATATGCACATACACACCTACATACATCTACACATACATACAAACATAAATCCTATTGCATCCTTTCTTTGGAGAGCCTTGAAACACATTTTGAATTTTAAATCATTCCAGAAACTTTTATTTTCATTTAAATACATGCATATGATTGTGGCTCTAGCAGTGCTTAAGGAATACAAATTGAGATATTAAGAACTTTTAAGATTCACTCTGGAATAATATGGACAGTAAACTGAAGAATATGACAAAAATCAATAAAAGTGTCTTTAGTACAAGTCAATCAATCCAATTAATTCACTTATTTTAGTCTATAGATTCCTTAGAAGTCTCCTTTTTGCTATTAGTCTTGTACTTTACCTCCAAATACACATATCTGAGCTGCCAATTCATTTAATATCATTTTAGGACTAACCTATGCACCTACAACAATGTGTTGTAAGCTGCATCTGATGACTGTGTAGTTTAGTAGAACATGAAGGATTTGCTCCTGTGGCGTTGACACATTGAAGTTGTCCACTAACCAGTACGGAAGGACAGAAGGCTATGCAGCATATTGCCATTCCCATTACACTATATATGCTAGGAATTGAGCCACTGTGTATGCTAGGATATGATCCTTTCTAAGCAGCTATACAGCTCTTTCTTTCCAGTTGTGATGTCAGTTCTGTTGATGTATCATAATTCTGATCTTCCCAAAAGCCACACAGACAATGAGTGTCAGAGACAATGAAGCTTACATGTGCACGTTGTACCATTTTCATCCAAAAGTTGATTGTCAGCACAAGCACACACACGGCCTGCTGGGATGGCTAGACAGAGTGTACCACAGCCCCCATTGTTTATGCGGCACATATTGTCACCTGCAGAGAAAAGGAAAGGAAATTGTCACAGACCTTTGATTACAGCAAGGCTGAAGTCCGTGGAACTTCTAAAATATCATTTATATTTAAGGCTATATAACACAAGCTACCTTTTAACTCTCTGTCCTGTTTTGTTTTTGTATACCCAACTGCTAAAATTGCAGGAATGTACTGCCAAATTTAGCTTTCAAGAGTACTTTCTTCCAGTGAAATATACATGGGAATATTATGTGCATGGATATGTGATATATAGTTCACTTTTGTGGGTTTAGTCAGCATTCCTCCTGAATAGAAATGGCTGTCAGAACATTTAAAAATATATATTGGTTTCACAGGTAAGAGGATTATGCAAGCTGATTGGAGAAGGACTGTGTGCCAGGCAATCATTTTCTAGGTACCAGGAGCAAGGAGGAAGATAGCTTTTGGTCTATCATGGACAGTTCCCTAGGTTATGCTCAAAGCAGGGTGGCATGAATATTTGAAAAGTAGAGCATGTCTCTGAGAATGTAGATGGAGACCACATTGAACAAGCAAGTATGTGGGAGACTGACTTGTTCCCTGGTGATAAGAGTGTGCTGGCATACCATTGTGCTGAGGGCCCCAAGAAGTTTGGGATACTGGGAAAAGTCACAGCACACAAAAGAAGAAGTGGCAGATTAGAGACTTAGGGAACAGACACACTGAAGGAAGACAGGAGAGGACATTTTAAAAGGAATTCATTAGCATGAGAGGAGCCTATGTTGAATCATACACAACACCAAGGACATTTTTGAAGAATTTGGAGATAAGACGTTTATAGACATGTAGCTAGAACAAAGTAACTTTAGATAACTACAGATTTGATATCATTTATTTTTGCAAGTAGGACTGTCAATTGAGAAAATGTATATCCAAGCTGTGGTGGCTTTTGCCTCTACTGTAGCTCCCAGGAAATTAAGGTAAGAGGATTGATGTGAGTTCTAAACCAGTCTGGGTAACAGAACAGACCCAAGAAGAGAGGCTAGAGTGACAGTCTGGAAAGAAAGACAAAAGCAGATGTCCAGAGAGAGGGGACTGATGGAGGAAGTGAGAGAGAGGGGGAGGGGGAGCAGGTTGCTTAGCTTTGTGGCTTTATGTCTACCTTTACAGAGAGAACCATAAAACTGCAAAAGCACTTTGTCAGTGTGATTATCATGTCATCTTATATCATGCTTCAATTTTCAATGTCAAAAATAAATAAAAATTTTTATTATTTTAAAAGTAAAAGACCAAAGGCCAAAGACAAAGACTTACTTGGACCATTAGTAATAAATGGCTAAGATCAATTTGGTAGCTCGTGCAAAAGTACCAATACTGCAACTGAAACCACATGTGGGGCTATCACACTGCAGCCCAGAGGAGCGGGATTTTCATGGAGCCAGGGGAGACAATTCTTACACAGTGGTACTGAATACTATAAATTCCTATGAATACATATCAGATCAGAAGAACTAACCTATAGTTTATTACCAATTCTTTTAGTTTTATGGAAAGTACATTTAATTCATTACAAACATAAAAAATATAAACCATGCTTCAAAGGTAAGGTAGCAAATAATGCAAGCAAGGAACTCAATTTGTGGGCTCAGATGATAATGAAAATTATCTCATATTTTCTTCTGCTAGGAAATGTGAAAACGTTTTATGCAGCTTCCAGATGTCAATATATGCATTACATAATTATGGAATAAGCATGAAAAACTTTAGAGCACACTCAGGTACCCTTTCCTTTCTGTGTTCACAATATGTTCAGCAATAAATTGTATATTCAAATTTAGTAGAACCCAGTTTCGGAAAATTAAAATTATTTCAATGATATTTGGGGCCATATATTACTGAGTCAGTAAGAAAAAACAAACCATTGAATAAAATGAACCAGCTTACATAGAGTTTTGTAGATCTTTGCTAACTATGTAAATCAATGGCATGACATACATAGAATAAAAAATTTTCATATTCTGAAATAAATTATCATTATAGTTTAAAAAACTTTCCTCCAATTTGAATGCACCATTCTGAAAAGGAAGAATTAGTATTTGTACTGCTATAATAGAAACCCCAAAGCTAAATTAACATGAACAATTCTACAACTCTTATTGGAAGAACATAAAATTGTTTATATTTTAATGGCTCAGCCTATTTTCAATTTTATTTTATTTTAAGAATATATTCCATCAGAACTAATGATATTGATTCTTGAAATTCTATCTTTAAAGATAATTCATAAAATTATATGCAAAACATACTGACTTTTTCCAAATTTGTTGTGAAAAATATGGAACTTGACAGTAATATAGTAGTAGTCACAGTACACAAAATCCATTCTTCTCATAGATGGTTAACTCATATTTACATTCAACTTAATCTAATTATAGAAACATTAATATATTTATTTGATTTTATATCAGTTGTAGGAAGGATCACTCTATATTTAAAGTGTCCAAATGATGTTTCTGACATCTAAAAATGGGAAATAATCTTTATTAAACTTACTTTGTCTAATAGTCTTCATCATTATGAATAAAAATTCAATATTTTTGTATTTAAATCAATTCTTTTGCTTAATTTACTTGCACAAGCTGAAATAAAATTGAATGAACAAAGAAAAACAACTACCAAGCACTACTACAACATAAACTTTTAAATTACTTAGGAAGTGAATATATTTAAATGTTCAAATATTTAATAAAGCTGCATTGACCACAATTTGAATTGTCAAGTCCAATTGCATTTCTTCAAAGCCACATTGTCTTTTCTTCCCGTTCATGATTCCTCCACAGTTAGTACTATGGATTTTGTGTGTCACAGAGTTTTTCATGAATACATGAATGAGTAAAACTTTGAGTTAGCAATATGAATTACAGAGCAACTGTTTTCAATATAAATACAAGGTGTGAGCAGAGATATATATGGGTACATGTGTGAGCATGAACATAGATGCAGGTACAGTTTTGAGTTCAAAGACAGTTATAGATGGAAGTGTGGTACAGGGATAGATATAAATTCAGGTATGTGTGCATGGGGTGCAGAGATAGGTATAAGGAATGGATAGATGCTGCATTTACAGGTATCATTTACAATGTATGATAAAATACATATCATATATTTTTATGTTTGAGTGCATAGATAAATGTAGAATCATGTGTCACACATGTGTCTAGATATATGTCAGTTCAGAGATACATGTAGGCACAGATTTGAGAGCATACATAGGTATAGACACAGGAGTGATTCTATGATATGAGGGCAATAAATCTATGGATACACAGTGGATATAGATGTGAGTATACATACAGTTATAAAACAATTTTATCATGATGAATGTGCTGTTCATTCTCATTTTAATTTACTGATATAACTATGTTCAGTGAATATACTGCCTAGGGAAGAAAGCTTAAAGGTATATTATGATCTCCATCAAACAATAATTCAGACTCATATGGTTTCAAATAACATTTAGCAACTCTGTATTAATAGTTCAATGTTATGGACCTTAGCAATTTAATCCCCATCATATGTTTTTTCTACCAGGTAGTGGAATATGTTTCCAGTAGAAATTAATCTGCCTGTCTTATTTTTCTCTGATTCTGATTTTTTAAAAATAATATTCAACATAAATCTTGACTTCTATAATCTTTCAGGACTATTTGTTTTTCAGTGTTCTAGCATATGTGAATTTACAAGTACCTCTACCACATATGGAAAGTTTCACATTTGGATTTTGTTTTTATATGTAGTGGAGTGTTATTCTATTTTATAACTTAGAGGATATCCTGAACATTGTGATTGTTCCAAACAACAGATAAGAACCAAACCAACTGAGACCCTGGTGTCAAGATTTATCCTGCATTTCATATTTGATTATTTCAGAGAAGGTGACTAAACATTTGGTATAAAGAAAGGATTAAAAGGTTCATACCTTTCCTTTCCTTTAAGAATTATATTTTCAGTTGATTATGCTTATATTTAGCTTGTTTTGCAACTACTTTGTAGTACTCTGTGGGTATGTGTTGTGTAATGATATTAAGGAAAAAGGAAAACAACATAGAAGAGTCTAGATAATATTTGTAAGTAATTTCTATGATAATTTTCTTTAAAATGGGGAGTTTGTGGAGAGATTAATGTGATTCTTCTAGCCATGTTATAAACCCCAGACTTATTAAATCCACACTTACACACATCAGAAAAATACTATATGTCTTGAATGCTGGAGATATGACTTCAGGTCTCTACACAATGATTCAAGGAAAATTTTGTGTTAAAACAATGAAAATGAAAAAAAAATACTGTTGACATAAATACAGGAAAACAAAACAACAAACAGGTAATGCTCCCAAACTTAGTGGTATACATCTTAATTCCAGAACTTTTGAAATACATGCAGAGAGTAAGAGTTCAAAGTCAACCTCATCTACAGAAGAAGTTTAAGGTCAACCTGGGTTACAAGGGATCTTATCTTAAAATAAACAACAATAATAATCAATCAAACAAAATAAAAACAACCACTTTAAAAGAAATAAATCATATGCTTCATCCCGGTGGAATAATTCACATTTTCAATCACATTCTTGGGCTAGAGGATGTCAAGTTCAGGGATAGCCTAGCTACATAGTGAAAAACAAACAAACAAACAAAAAAAGGTAGGGTTATGATGCAGAGGCATAAGCACAAAGACCTGAGTTTCAATTCCCAGAGAACATACACAAAGCCAGTTCTGGTGGGCTGTTATTGCAACAATAAAATAAAGGCACAGTGGCATGAGAATGCTGGGGGCTTCTCTCATAACCAACCTAGGAACTGGAACTGGAGATCAATACAAGATCATTACACAGTCTCAGTGAGAGACTCTTCCTCAAAAAATAAGGTAGAGAACAATTGGGGATTACTTCCAGACATCTATTTCTAGTCTCCACATGCTACAGAATCAGTGAGAATACCTGGACATACACAATATCATATGCATACATACACAAACACACACTAATTGCTGCTCTATTTTATTTATGTATATTTATATGAATATGTAAATAATATATTAAAATACAGTTCACATATACATACATATATCAAAAACTTTTGTCTGTATTCTTGGGTTGCTACAAAGAGGGGGAGGAAGAGAAAGCAAGAAAGACGGGGATAGGTGGTGACATGCATTGGATGCTAGCTATGTAACATTTTTGTTTAAAACTGGCTTTAACTTTTTTCTTATTTAATTTATAATTTTACATGTAGATCCCAGTTTCCGCTCCTTCCCTCCCTCCTTCTTTCCCTCCCTCTCTCACTTTTACCCTCTCTTCCCTCTCACATGCACCCTGACCACCATCCCCCTCCCATCCCACCACCCCAATTCCATATGTAGGGCAATGCCATCCAGGTGGGGTCATGTAGATCTGATAGGTCATTTGAAGTATGGACTAGGACTTCTCTCCTGTCACTAGGTTAAAGCAGTATCCCTCCATGGGGGATGTGTTCACAAGGTCCTTTTGTGCACCAGGAATACATCCTGGTTCCACTGTCTGAGGTCCCTTAGACTGCTCAGTCCTTCTGGCTGAGACCCATATTCGGGGGGGGGGGGGCCTGTGTCAGTCCCAGGCTGGCTTCCCAGCTATCAGTTTGGGGGCCATTAGCTCCTCCTTGTTCAGGTCAGCTGTCTCTCTGTGTTTCTGCAACCTGGTCTTCTCCTCTCCCTCTGCATCTGGGTTCTATTTTTACTCAGTGTTTAAGTATGGGTGTTTGCTCCTGTTTCCAACAGGTATTAGATGAGGGCTCCATGGATAAGTTAGTTGTTGATCTCACTATCCTGGAAGGGCATTAATGGTAGCCTTTCCACAGAAGCTCAAATTGTTAGTTGGTGGCAGTCTTGTAGGTCTCTAAACCTTTCTTTGTGTTCAATTTTATCTTCAAACCAATATTGGCTCCCTCTTTTATGCTCTCTCTCTCTCTCTCTCTCTCTCTCTCTCTCTGTCTGTCTGTCTCTCTCTCTCTTCCTCTCTCCCTCTCCTGTCTTCTATTCTTACCCTGACTCAATCTTCCTAGTAGCATGTGTTTACCTCTCCTCCCCCTCTCTTTCTCCTACTTCTCTCTCCATTAACTGCTCCCCCACTTCCCCTATGCTCTGGAAGTCTTGTCCCTTCTTGCTTCTGTGAGGGACTTTATATGAATACAAGGTGTGTTCTAAGAGATTGGTAACATTTTTTTTTAAACTGGAAGAAAATAATAGTGGTACAGCCTACTCTCAAGGGATCTGCTTGTCTACTGAGTTCCTGTGTTTTACCCTGTAGATAAAGTATAGATACCATGGGGCTGAAAATATTGATTAGCGGTGATTAGCAGCAGAGTCAGGTTTGATTCCCAGCACCCACATGATAACTTTCAACCACCCATAATTCCAGTCTCAGTAGAGCTAACACTCTTCTTGTCTGCTCGGGTACCAAGTATGGTCATAGTGTACAGACATTTTTGCAGGCAAACATTCATACACATAAAATAAAATATTTTTAAAAGTCCTAGTAGTAAGGACATTAAATATATCATTTCCCATGTATTTACAAAATTTAATCATCTTATGTTCAATAGTTTAAAAGAAAAAGAACAATTGGAAGAAAAATACACCACTATAAAATAAGTTGCCTATATCTAAAAATCTTAAATACTTTTACTTTGTAATTGTCTTGATCAGTACAATTAAAGATGGAAAACAATATATACCTGTTGTAGATTATCTAAAATCAATGAGACTGACTTGGATCCAAAGCTACTAAGTAGAAATTCTTTCTATAATGAATGTACTATGGTTCAATAATTGGTACAGTTGCATGGACCGATCATTAGATATAGGATGATTAGATAGAAACTGACCTAATTGATTGGTCCACATAAGTTAGTAAAAGTAATCCATCAGTTGGAATCAACACTTTCTCTAAGTAGAACAGAACATAATCATTTCTAAATGAGCATTCATAATGAGCTGAGTAATTATGATCTCTTGAAATACAATGGTAAAAGAAATTTTATAAAAGCAATTCTTTATCCATTGTCAATACTTATTCACTATAATCTCAGGAATTTTCAAAAAGAAGATATACTGCTCTGTTTGAGACACACCGTTTATTATATATCACTCTGTAAAAGATGTAATATGTCTCATATGTATTAGGTCTTTTGAGATTTATTTGTAATGTAACAAATGATTATTTGATCCTCACAGAAATGTGGTAAAGGATGGATTTCTGATTTACATTAAACATTTCACAATTCCAAAGTCAAAAGTCAGTGTTTAAGCCCAAGTCCATTTTATTGTGAAGAGACATTTGAATTTGATAACTAACTTTCTATACCAACTAGAAGATTATGGTCTATGAACTCTATAAAAATGAATTGTGGCTAAAGAGAGTTGAAAAATGATACTTAGAGTAGGTGGTTCTACAGAGAGGAAGGGACTTAGTGGAAGAGCTCCTGCCTAGCAAGAACAAATTCCAGTGTACAGTCCTGAGGAGATGGCAAACAAGGGAGAGGAGGAAGGGAAGCAGTGGGAAGGGAGAAAGGAGCACTTCCTGTATAACACAGACAAACAAAATGTGTGCAGCAAAAGTTATGAGATTGGTATGAATGAGAGGAGAGAATTGCTCTCTCCAGCAATTTTTCTCCTTCTATTATTCATTCTTCACCTCTTATAATAGCCCAAATAATATCAATTTTGTCCTTTTTCAAAGATAATTTAATCAAGAATTAGCCATTATTATTTAACATTCTTTGCACTTGATTTGTCTGTGATACTCTGATAGAGTACTGTTAATAAAGGAGGACAGCTGAGGCTCAGGAATGAGATGTTCTGTTTAAGGTAACTACCTTAATGCAAACACCTTCCAAAGCCTGATGTTACTGAAATCCCTACTGACAAGATATGGATCAGAAAATTAAGGTGCAATTTATTCAAATTAAATTTATTGGGATGCATGGTCATTAAAGATTTATAAAAATATCTACATGATAAAGGAATGACAACTATTTAAAAATCATAAAACATCTACCATATCATTTACTAAGTTGTTTTCAGTGCTTACTATCTAAGTTATGAATCATGGTAATTGTGGTGGCATAATAAATATTAATAACTCATGAGGATAAAATGTAACAATGCTATCTGATTTTAATGAGATGTGGCTGTTGTGGTGGGTTGTTCCACTTTATCTTTATATATTTTTTTAAATACGTGCAGAACCTAACCAGACAATGTGAAGCAGACTTGTCAATAAAGACTGCATGTGAAATTCATCTATTTTTTAATTATTCAAGTCCTCTTTTCAGTGTAAGAAAGTTTTTCTCACTGCTTACCCAACTATTTTTTAGATGGCATATACATGGATGGGCTTTTCTTTCACAAAACATGATGTGAAAAAAGAAATATTTGGGAAACCTCAATTTCTCTTGAGCAGAATCACCTGAGTTCCTCACTCAGGCTGCTTAAGAACAAGAAATGTATTCTTATGATAACAAGATAACAAGCTTTAAGAATCTACAGTGAGCTGGCAATGTTTTTGTTTTTTATAAAAACCACCAACATTGTGAAATAGAACTTGCTATAGTGAAGTCTTATTATATGTGAAATGTTGGAAAATTGTTTTTAGTTTTTTATACCTTGTTGCTTTCGTGGATCAAAAATCTGAAGCCCAAACAGGGGTGCTCTTTCATGCCTCAGCAATGTTACCTCACTAGTCATCAAATCTAGTTGAAAAATGGAACCATTCATGTAATCTGTCCAGAACACGTAATTCCCATGATGTGATAATCCGAAAGGATGATTCAACTCTTTCCCACTGTAAACAATCTGTAAAATATGAAATAAACATAAATGTACTGCATAAATCAAGGTTATCTTCAAAAACATAACTATTTAAGTGAATGATATTTATATAACTATACCAGAGAACAATCTAGTTATAGTCTTAACTCATATTTTATCAGCTTAGATTTACAGAAGAGACTTTTACAATGTGAGCTTTGTTTTACTTTTGGGCATATGCAATTTGTAGGAGATTGCTAATACTTAACTGCCAAAATTTCTCTCAAAAATGCCACTGCAACATTAAAATGGCTTTGCTCCCATTTATTTCTATCTTCTTTGTGATACTTATTATTCCCTTGGATGGAAGTTAATCTAAAAAATTACTCTGTGCACAGATCTGAATCCTAAGTGGTGTACCCATACACATACAAACTCATAGTCATGAATATAAAAACACCCATGTCCTTCATTCAATAATCAATTGAAATTAAATGTTTCAATGGCCATGTGAATGGGAAAGATGTTCTAGGTTAATTGAGCTAAGGAAAACTGAAGAAATCTAGGAAATAACAAGAAATAGGTTTCAATTGTACATAGATATGACTTGCTAATTAGTTTAAATTTTAATTGTGTTGTTGTATTATTTAATTTCCTTCTGTCTGTTGAAGTTGAGGAATCAAGAGAACAGTCATGCCATCTTTTACATGGAGATGATAGACAGGAAATGTACTAGATCACCAATATGACCACACTTCTTACCTTTCATTACTTATAAAATCATACTGCATGTTATTAGAAAAGCAATTTTTTCTTACAACCGATATTCAAAACTTGTAAATATAGTTTAGAAATAAAAATTGAAATTATGATTCTATTTGATACTTGTTTTATTTTTGTTGTTGTGTGTTTTGTTTTTGAAAACTGTTTCTCTGTGTAACATCTCTGGCTGTTCTGGAATTTACTTTGTAGAATAGGCCAGCTTCAAAGTTCCAGAGCTCTACCTGGCTCTGCCTTCTTAGCGCTGGGATTAAAGTTGCAAACCACACATGGCAATTGTGCTTCTTTTGATTGAAACCTCCAATTAATTTATGATATTCTAAAATAGTAAGATATACCAGAGCCTAAATAATGATAACCATAAAACTATATACATTATGGATATCCTTTGAAGATATAAGTATCTATGCAATATATTGCATATATGTGTGCATTATATATATATGTGTATATATACATATTAACATATTATATATCATACTGTATATGGTACACATAGTTAAATACATTATACCATACTTTGTATAGTGAATTTATAGTTTTTTATATATATATATATATATACATATATATAATGGAGTACTATATATGGTATACATAGTTATATATAACAAACTATGTTATATATATAGTATATAAATAATATATATTCTAACATCTTCAAATGAAGCACAGTTATTTAGTTAATACATGTGAATTATATGGCATCATGCTACATGCCAATAAATTTTATTAATCTTGGAAAATATTTGTGTATCATTTGTTATAACCAATGACCAAACTGATAACAGCACTATTGACTTCTCAAAAAAGAATTTTGTTCAGTAGAATGAGTCCACCACTTAGGATTCAGATCTAGAAAGGAACTTACATCAAGGACATATTTGGAAAACATCTAGCTTACTCTTTCTTTATCTTTTGCCTCAAAGTTGAAGTTATTCCATGGGGCTCTAGGTTGTTGATGACTGAAGACCAAGCAGCAAGGTGATGACTTTGTCAGCTATGGCTCTGTCTTCCTCTCAACTACATAATTGTCAGTATTATCCTACATTGCTAAGATATTTAACAAAGATTTCATCAAAATAAAATATGGAAGTTCACATTTATTTGCACTGGATAGCCTTGGCTATCCCCAAGTTCTTTACTCAAATGAATGCAATATAATTACTTTGTCTAAATTTTAGCTGCAAATATTGAACATATTCAAATAGAGAGGGGTTGCTTGGTCACAGTAAAGCCATTGCTACTGAAGAAAAGCTGCATTGTAAAATCAGTGCTGTTACCTACTAGGAGAGTATTTTTATAAATAAAAAATAAACAAACAAACAAAAAATAACAACAACACATTAACAAAAAAAAAAATCAAAAAAACACAAATCCTGGCATACCACAGTGAGCTGGGCTTGGCCTCCTGGAGGCCAGTGCCAGCTGCACAGCTTAATACTCAGCTCCTTCAGCCACCCCATGGAGACTATTGGCAGCCACCACAGAAGAGTAAAAATAAAATTGAAAGTATTTTTAACACAACACAAGGCTCTTTGGAAGAAGAAGCCTGCGGGTTAAAAACAGCAACACTTATCTTTTACCTTTCTGTGAGTTCCATTCAAAAATACTTTTTCAATATGATCATAGTAGGCATCACACCAATATAATGTGTTGGTGTGAAAATCCAGTGTTAAGCCGTTTGGCCACAGCATCTTTGAAGTCACAAAAATCTGTCGATTGAAGCCATCCATCCAAGCCTTCTCAATCCTTCCCACGCTGTCATCTATTTTATCTTCCTCCCAGTCTGTCCAATACATCCAACTAGGACATGAGAAACAAGAGCGTATTTTGTTATCTCCAGTAGCCACCCTGTAGAGAGCACTCTTCAGGTTTGGTTTTTCAATATAACAATTGCTTTCTGATAGCTTCTATGTAAACACTGATTTTTCTGAACCAGGGTACATCTGGGAAGCTAGGAAAGCCAAGGTCACTATACATACCAATTAGCTCACCACAGAAAACCTACTACCAGCTACCATTCCCAAAAGGATCACAGAAAACTTTCCAACAGCCATGGAGGCTTATGTAATACAATAATTGGAGCAGTGGTAAATTCCAAATATCTATTTTCTTTGTACCCTGATTTTTTTATGTAGTAGGTACTTTATATGTTGTTCCACAAAATGCATAATTGATTCAATGATTAGAAGGCAAGCAGGTGACATGAGAACCCACAGCACAGTTAATGATGGACTCCAAACTTAATTTAATTCATATAAATTAGAGGTTTTTTAGATAGGCAACTAGATTGCCTTTGTTCTAAAGGTCACAGTCATACTGACTTTATTTGGCAAGATCCAATTTGTCTTCCTGATGCAAATTACCTATGCTTTATTGCTGCTTGCTATTACCCCAAATCCACAAAAGATGATTTAACTGCACATAAGTTTAATAACAGCAGGTTGACTGACCTTGAGATTTTGAGCTATTAATTTCTATCTCAAACAAAACACCTCCTTTTAAAAACGAATCTTTTATGTAAGCTGTATCAGTGGGAGAGTGAGCCTGGAGCTACTGCTCCAATTCCCTCATGAATAAGGTTAAACGACACAATATGTGTTGTTCTAGGGTCATGTGAAAGCTCTGTGTTATTAATTAAAGTAGATTTTCATTTTGGCATCCCAGACACAGCTCTCTAAAGACCCAATGCTTATCTAAGCTGGGGGATTTAAGAATACCCTCCTGATGCATTTCCCTCCCTTGTGTGGATCCTGAGGAAATTCTGACATTATTTGGGGAAATTTTATAGCCTGACTAAGAATTCTACCAGTGTTCAGACTGGCTGATAAGTTAACGATGAGACTATATCCTCTATTATTTTATATCAATTAAGTTTTATTTCAAATTATTTTAACAGCTGAGAATTATTTTGATTGCCTGTTGAGCCTGGATGGAGTATTAATCTTATTGATGTCAGTGTACCTTTTCTATTCTGCATTCCCTACAAGGGCCTTTATCATGGTGACAACTTAGGAACTAATTAATACCATGATCAGGCACAAATGTTTCATTTTATTTATACAAATCAGCATGTATAAAATGTAGCTTTATTCTTATTACTAAATTACACATTTTTGAAACTGGTTTAGTCTTTCCCTTTAGCATTTCCTGTTGATCATGAAATACACATTTTACTGTATCCTGTGGATAGGTGTAGCTATTTGTTCTGATTCACGGTTATAAACGTGTTCACATGAATACATATGCATTCACCCACACACAAAACACAGGCCTGTAATGACTCGCACATCTAATGAAGATGCTTACTGTTTTACTGTTCTGTAAGGATTGAATTAAACCCCAAGTCAGTAAAGTCCTGTATGAAGGTGTATTGTTGGTAAGGTTATGGCCTTGGAAAGGATTGAGGCTTTGTACCCATGGGAAATTGGCAAAGCTTTCCCCATATAGCTCAAAATTGGCAAAGCCTTCTTCTCTGGTCAGTTATGAGTGTTTGCAGACAATGGATCAGAGTGTACACAAACTGGCCCAAAGCAGCTTTATCATCCCCTTGCTTATGGACAGAGATTTGTAGCCACAAAGACCTCCTACAGGCACTAGATAAGCCCTCCTTCTGTGATGCACATAATAAAAACACTAAGGTTCCCTGTCATTATAGATGAGGCTGGATCAGAGCACACAGCCTGCCTGATCACAGATTTTCTGTGTCTGTCATTTCTCTATATCTCAATACCCAGAAAGTTTTCCCTATCTAAGATACACGGGTCTAGACACTGCAAATGAAGATTTTTTTTTTTTTTTTTTTGTGAATCAATCCAGTATTTAAGTTTATTTTTAAACAGAAAAATATCAAATAATATAATTTTTTAATTTTTACTTTTAAGACACACACACATACACACACACACCACACTTAAATCTAGATTTTACATATGAGAGATAAAGTAGCATTTAACTTTCTGAGTTTAGCTTATTTTGCTCAACATGACTATCCATACATTTTTCTAAAAACAGTTAAACAGGCAATGTTGGTCTGGTAGCCATATATATGTGAGATTTTTGTGTTACATTACTGAGGGCAAAGGCTTAACCAGTGGAAATGTTAAAGGTCTGAGAGGAAAGATTTCCCCAATGGAGGTGTTACAGGAATGAGGAGAAAGGTATCCTGGCAGTTGAAGGTAAATTAATACCACAAAGTCATGCTGTAGAACAAACCTCCACAAGAGATGTATTGGAAGAGACACAGGGGGGGGATGGGTGCCTCTGATCAGGGAGGGGCACCGGAAACTGAGCAGGAGACAGGGTTTATGTAGGATTTATTTTGGGGTCAGAGTTTTCCAAAGAGGAGATTGCTAGGGCAGGGATTGTTGAAATTTCAAACAAAGCCCAGGAATTGGTGGGATTTTATGCTCAGTATTGATAGGTTTTGTTAGATTTTAAATCCTAGAAGTGGTTCAGACTTTTCAAACCTTTTACCTCACATTCCCCTCTTTTTGTTTATTATTTAAAACAAAACAAAACCAACTAAGGGCTGGGGAAAGTAGACTAATTCCTGTTAATTAGGGCATTAAATTCCTTGGGGAAAGCTTGACTTTCATCATAGGCTTCTGTTTCAATAGCAAGGAATTGAAAATCCTATAATAGCAACTGATTAAAAGCATGTTTACAAATCTTCAAATATGTTGTTGAGGGAATATAGGCAACAAGTTATAAAAGGATAGTTATTACACTCCATGTTTCTATAGATATGTGTAAGTTGCTTGGATTTTTAATTAAAGAAAGTAATTATTTTGATCCTAGAATTGTCTGATACTTTTGATGAAGAGTATCTCTGCAGTGAATTTTGAGTTACCCTGTGTACTTTTAAAAGCTGGAGCTATAGGAGAACAAAAGAAAACAAAGTTCTCAGTCTAAAAGTATTTTACTTAAGTTTCCAAACATTTGAATGAAATTTCCTGTTGCTAATGCTTCCTTTTTATTGCCACTACTTGAATGACTTGTTCCACAAACTTCCATGCCTACACCCACTGCTTTTTAAACCAGTTTTCAGACATAAGTAAGACCAACCTCTTTAAAATGAGGGTGAACCTGCCACCTCCATGTCCATCCTTTCACTGAAGATAAAACACAAAATTCAAAGTTCTATTATCATCCTGTTCTCTTTTACCACTTCATCTTCACCAAGGAAATTTAGATTTAAGTGGATTTAGACAATGTGAAATGTATGTTTCAAGAAATCTTTGTGGGCAGAAAATTTCATTAGCTTAAAAGTTTAAGCAAAAGAGTCTCTGACTGTATGATGATTACTTGTCCTAGTGTTATGTTGTCTAATATAGTGCTTATTTTTAGATATTTAAGTAACATATTCTCTGTTCAAAAATTTTTTATTTTATTTATTTCAATGTATTTTTTTCTGTTTTTATTATATACATACATACATACATACATATATATATATATATATATATATATATATATATTTACATGCAGACTTACATACCCATTGACTGGATCTACCACAATTCCTCTGGGATGAGACATTTCTCCCTCCAGCAATGTTTTCCGGCTCTGAGAAGCTTTCTCCAGCCTGGCCACATTAATGGTTTTTCTTTGACCATCATTTGTCCAGTAAAGGTTATTTCCAATCCAGTCTACTGCAATGCCTTCTACATTATCCAAATCTATAAAAGTGTAAGAACAAGAAAGAAAGTAATCATATAATTAAAGTCAAATGAATTTCTCCAACTGACAATCTATTTAATGAAGTATCACAAAACAAACAAAAACCCCAAACAAAAAAAGAACTGCAACCAAAGATCTTTATAATGTGCTGTGCTTTTTAATAATTTTTTTCATTTTTATTTTAAATGCTTTGTTATTCAAATGATAGACCCTCTGTCATCACAAAGATTAAAATATGATTTGTGTTCACAACTAATCATATGCTGTTGTTTTAACTGAATGCCAGAATGCTGTAACAGAGTAAGCCATCTACAGAATAGTAGAAATTACAAATTACATAAGCAAAAGAATGTAAGTACAAGTGAATAAATGTGAACAGTGGCTTCTAAAAATATCTACAATATTTCTGAGTATTTCACATTTTATTGAGGATTTCACACATTTCATATAATGTTATAAAGTTATTGGTTTAATCTGTCCACCCTCTTTATGTTTCACTTTTTTCTCTATCCTCGACCATTTTTCAATCACAGCTTTATGTGGTCTCTCTGTCTGTTTTGAAACCACTAAATATATTTGGTGCTGCCTGAATATGCCTTGTAAGGTCCTTCTGTAAATATCTGAAAGGTACAGGAAGTAATAAATCAGAGATACTATAAGAATTTTAAATTTCGCCCCGCACGAACTCCCTGGGTTGGCCCCTGATCCTGCTGCTCATGTCCCCATCGAGAGCACCCTTGGAGCTCTCATACACCCCACCCATCCCCACAATGAGCCTGCCCCCCCTACCCTGTGCCCTACCCTACCCGCGGTCCTGCTGCTCTGGTTGAGCACTGGGACATAGGGTGGAGCCAACAGTCCACCCTACTTCAGAGACTTCTCAGAGCAACTCTGAACAAGGAGACCTGCCTATCCATGCGGGACCACCCATAATTTCCACCTGCTTGGTCTCTGACCCCACCTCCAGTCCTCTGCTGGAGTAGCAAGCCCCTCCCAGAGATACACCTATCTCTGCAGGACCACTGTGAGTACCTGCTGGCATCTTCTACTGGATCCTCATCCTTGACCCCATCCCTGGGTCCCTGTCTGAGGAGAAACTTCCTAGAGAGCTTGAACCACACAGAGCTACAGATATTGAATCTCAGACTCACATAAGCCCACCAGGGAAGTACCATAGAGAGAGGGGGAAACCCACCAACACCTACTGGAAGAAGCTATGGGAAGAAGGCAATACAAGAAAACACCTAACAACAGAAAGACAAGCATGACACCACCAAAATCTAGGGAATCTACACCAACTAAAACGGAACACAACAAAGCAGAGGAAGCAGAAGGGAACGACTTAAACATTACCATCATAAAAATGATAGAGGCCCTCAACGAAGATGTGAGAAAATCCCTTAAAGAAATGGAGGAAAAAACAAACAAAAAAGTGGAAGAAATGAACAAATTCCTTAAGGAAAGTACAGAAAGCCAAGAAAAAACAATTAAGCAGGTGAAGGAAACAGTTCAAGACTTGAAAACAGAAATAGAGAAAAATAAAGGCAACAAAAACTGAAGGAATGCTGGAAATAGAAAAACTGGGTAAAAAATCAGCAACTACAGACACATGCATAACCAACAGAATTCAAAAGATGGAAGAGAGAATCTCAGGCACAGGAGATAAACTAGAAGAAATAGATTCATCGACCAAAGAAAATCATAAAACCAATAAATCCTTAACAACAAACATCCAGGAAATGTGGGACACCATGAAAAGGCCAAACCTAATAAGAATAATAGGCATAGAGGAAGGTGAGGAAGCCCAGCTCAAAGGTGCCAAATTACATTCAACAAAATCATCGAGGAAAACATTCCAAATCTGAAGTCATCCACCATGACCAAGTAGGCTTCATCCCTGGAATGGAGGGATGGTTTAACATATGAAAATCTATCAACGTGATGCACCATATAAACAAACAGAAAAAGAAAAACCATATGATTATCTCCCTAGATGCAGAAAAACCCTTCGACAAAATTCAACACCATTTCATGATGAAGGTCTTGGAGAGGTCAGAGATAACAGGAACATACCTAAACATAATAAGAGAAATAATCAGCAAACCAACTGCCAACATCAAACTGATGTTGAAACTTAAGCCAATTCCTCTAAAATCAGGAAGAGGACAAGGCTGCCCTCTCTCTCCATATCTCTTCAATATCGTACTAGAAGTTCTAGCTAATGCTATAAGACAACAAAAGGAGATCAAGGGGATCCAAATTGGGAAGGAAGAAGTCAAACTGTCTCTATTTGCAGATGATGTGATAGTTTACATAAGCGACCAAATAAACTCTACCAGGGAACTCCTACAGCTGATAAACACCTTCACCAAAATAGCAGGATAAAAGATAAACTCAAAAAAATCAGTAGCCCTACTTTTTTCAGACGACAAAGACACAGAGAAACAAATCAGAGAAACAGCACCCTTTACAATAGCCACAAGCAACATAAACTATCTTGGTGTAACACTTACCAAACAAGTAAAAGACCTATATAATAAGAACTTTGTGGCTCTAAAGAAAGAAATTAAAGAAGATACCAGAAAATGGAAAGATCTCCCATGCTCTTAGATAGGCAGGATAAACATAGTAAAAATGGCAATCTTGCCAAAAGCAATCTACAGATTCAATGCAATCCCAATTAAAATCCCACCACAATTCTTCAGTGACCTTGAAAGGATAATAATCAACTTCATATGGAAAAACAAAAGAACCAGGATAGCTAAAACCACCCTATACAATAAAAGTACTTCAGGAGGCCTCACCATTCCTGACTTTAAGCTCTACTACAGAACTATACTTCTGAAAACAGCCTGGTATTGGCATAAAAATAGACAGGTAGACCAATGGAATCGAATTGAAAATCCTGATATTAACCCACACACGTATGATCACCTGATTTTCGACAAAACAGCTAAAATTATACAATGGGGCGAGGACAGCATCTTCAACCAGTGGTGCTGGCACAATTAGATGAGGGTGTGTAGAAGACTGCAGATAGACCCATGTCTGTCGCCATGCACAAAACTCAAGTCCAAATAGATCAAAGACCTCAACAACAATCCAGCCACATTGAACGTCTTTGAAGGAAAGTAGGAGATACCCTTGATCAAATTCATTTAGGAGACCACTTCCTGAACATAACTCCAGGGGCACAGACACTGAGAGAATCAATTAATAAATGGGACCTCTTCAAAATTAGAAGCTTCTGTAAGGCAAAGGATACAGTAGAGAAGACCAAATGGCAGCCCACAGACTGGGAAAAGATTTTCACCAATCCTATATCTGACAAAGGGCTGATCTCCAAAATATACAAAGAACTCAAGAAACTAGTCAACAAAACACCAAATAACCTTATTAAAAAATGGGGTACAGAACTGAAGAAAGGATTCTCAATAGAGGAAATCAAAAAGGCTGAAAGACACTTAAGAAAATGCTCCACATCCTTAGCTATCAGGGAAATGCAAATCAAAACAACTTTGAGATACCATCTTACTCCTGCCAGAATGGCTAAAATTAGAAACACCAATAATGACTCATGTTGGAGAGTATGTGGAGAAAGGGGAACACTCCTCCACTGCTGGTGGGAGTGCAAACTCATACAACCATTTTGGAGCTCAGTATGGCGGTTCCTCAGGAAAATGGGACTTAGATTACCACAGGACCCGGCAATCCTTCTTAGGCATATACCCAAAGGATTCACATCCATGCAACAAAGACATATGTTCAACTATGTGCACTATTTATAATAGCAAGAACCTGGAAGCAACCTAGATGCCCCTCAATCGAAGAATGGATAATGAAGATGTGGAATGCTGGAAATAGTACAGAAGCAAGCATAACCAACAGAATTCAAGAGATGGAAGAGAGAATCTCAGGCGCACAAGACAAGCTAGAAGAAATAGATTAAGTGACCAAAGAAAATCATAAATCCAATAAATCCTTAACACAAAACATCCAGGAAATGTGGGACACCGAGAAAAGGCCAAATCTAAGAATAATAGGCATAGAGGAAGGTGAGGAAGCCCAGCTCAAAGGTGCCGAAAATATATTCAACAAAATCATCAAGGAAAACTTTCCAAATATGAAGTACGACATGACCATGAAAGTACAAGAAGCATACCAAACACCCAATAGGCTGGACCAAAGAAAAAAGACCCCTCGACATATAATAATCAAAACATCTAGCATACAGAATAAAGAAAAAATATTAAGAGCAGCAAAGGAAAAGGACAGGTAACATATAAAGACAGACCTATCAAAATTACACCTGACTTCTCCATGGAAACTGTCAAGGCCAGAAGGTCCTGGATAGATGTTCTACAAGTATTAAGAGAACACAAGTAGCCAGCAAAACTCTGTATCACTATAGATGGAGAAAACAAGATATTTAATGACAAAACCAGATTTTCCCAATACATGTCTACAAATCCAGCCCTACAGAAAGTATTGGAAGGAAAACTCCAACCCAAGGAAGGTTACTATGCCCACAAAAATGTAGGCAACAGATATAATCTAAGTATACCAGAAACCAAGGGTAAAGCAGAACTAATATATTCACAATAGCACTGCCAACAACAAACCTAAAACAAATAAGCATCAACAATCAATGGTCCAATTTAGCCTTTTCATCAAGGGAGAATTAAATACTGTCACATTATTAAATACAAAATGACACGGCTATTTTTAGTTATTTGTTTTGATTCCACACCTAGGTTATAATTTATTAAAATAAAATACTCTGGACCTTTTCACACCAATAGCAAATTGTTCATTCTATCTCATTAATTGAAACAGGCATGTAGTTACCAGTAGTCATTACAGCAATGCAGTTTCATAGATAGGCTTAATTTATATTTCCTAATATGGTTTGGGATTTTGTGCTTGACTATATAAACATTAAAAATACAATTGTATTTCTGCAACTCATAATTTTTTACTAAATTTTCAATGGAGTAAA